TTTTTTTTTTTTCTTTTTTACCGTATAGGTAAATCTTTGATTTAAAACTTTTGCAAGCAGTATCCGTAAAAAGTTTATTATTATATCTAAAGAAAACTGTTAATAAAACTGTAAAGATAAATGTTCTTTTTAAATCTGCCGTTTGACTATGCAGAAATTGTTTAAAAAAAAACAAAAAAAAAAAAAACTATGTTATTTGTAATTTGTTTACCACAAATATTGTTTTCCTTTCTTCGCAATTGAAGCTATATTTAGTTTTATTAATTGCTTAGCTATTGCTATCAATAATACAGTGTTATTTTCAACAATAAAAATTGCTGTTACTAATTTAAAGCAAAATAAACCATGAACCACAGGAGAATATTTTGTGACCGATTAGAGAAATACCTTCGGTATATGACTTAAAAAAAAAAAAAAGAGAGGAATGTATTTTTTAACAATATTTTATCCCAAAAAAGCAGCAATCTCTTTACTTTTTCAGCATTTGGTAATGCAAAAACAGTTAGAAACGACAACTCATCTAGATTTGGCAAATACATTGACATTCATTTTCGTGCTGATGGAGCTATTGAAGGTGCTAGAGTTGAGCAGTATTTGCTGGAAAAATCCAGAATTGTTAATCAGGCTCATGATGAGCGAAATTATCATATATTTTATTGCCTACTAGCTGGTTTAAGTCAAGCTGAAAAAGATGAACTATATTTGAGAGATGCTAAAGATTACTATTATTTAACTCAGGTAACTGTTTTATGATAAACGAAATGCTAAAATTAAACTGTACATAAAATTGCTGTTATTTGCATTTTATGTGTTATATAGAATTAAAAAAAAAAATACAATTTAAGGGAAAAACTCTGGTTGCCGATGGTCGTGACGATGCTGCAGATCTGGCTGAAATAAGATCTGCAATGAAAGTACTGTTTTTTAAAGAACCTGAAATAAAGACTATTTTTAAGATATTGGCTGCACTGCTTCATATTGGCAACATTAAATACAGCGGTAATTACATTTCACCTTCAGTCAAACCTCATTTTCTAATAAACTTTTAGCTGTCGTGCTATTAGGTTGAATAATGCTTTAGCAACAATGTTGAACAATATGGAAGCAACAGAAATACGGGATAGAGCCGGTGTTGCACGAGTTGCTAAACTTCTTCAAGTAAGTTTTTGCTAAAAATAGCATAAAGTTTTTCCTGCATTTTAGCTAACAAAATTTTTGCTTTATAAATTTGTTCTGTTGAGAACATCAATTAGCATCAAGTTCTTAAACAGGTTTAGTTTTTTTTAAATGATGTTTAGCTGATGTTACGATTTATCAGAAATGTTTAGGTGGATGAAAGAACCTTAGTGAATGCACTAACTACAAGAAGTTTGGTGACACGAGAAGAACGAGTGGTTTCCTGTCTTACCGCCGAACAAAGTTTAGATGTAAGAGATGCGTTAGTAAAAGGTATTTATGGTAGACTCTTCATCTCAATTGTTAATAAAATCAACGATGCAATTTACAGGTAAAAATAATTGTTGTTTTTAAAGTATGTAATGTATTTGTTTTACATATTTTATCTACGTTTTTTGATTGTTTCGGATGATTTGTTTACCAAACATATGTTTTGAATAAAACTTTTGTAAAATAAAATATGTGATGGCAAGTAATACGTATCTATGGTTCATAAAATTAGCGATTGATAAAAATATGGCTATTTGTGAAAAAAGAAACTAATGGCAATAACAAATTAACCGAGCATAAAATTGAACATTTAAAACGTAAAAATTTCAGTCTTTTTTACTGTGCCATGACTTTAGAATCTAAAGTGTTAACCGTTTCGATAAACAATTATTTTTTTTTAGGCCACAAAAACCTGGACAAAAAAGGCGCAACATTGGAGTACTTGATATATTTGGCTTTGAAAATTTTACGATGAATAGCTTTGAGCAGCTTTGTATCAATTATGCAAATGAAAATCTGCAGCAGTTCTTTGTACGTCATGTTTTTCGACTGGAACAACGGTACACTTAACAATTGACTGTCCTGTCTTTAAATACCAAAAACTTTCAGAATATTTCTACGCTAAAGTTGTTTGCATCCTCACTCAGAGAAAAACGTTTTATTTAAATTTGCAGTTTTCAGAGAATATGAAGCAGAAAAAATTGACTGGAAAAGTATCGAGTATACAGACAACCAAGATGTGTTGGATATTATTGCGATGAGACCAATGAATATTTTTTCCATTATCGATGAAGAAAGTATATTCCCGAGAGTAAGTATTTTATTAAAATGCCATTTGTATTTATGTCTCTTGCTGAGTTGTGCATATTTGAAGCTTTGAAGATCTATCAAATTGACATCGGTTTTATAGGGCACAGATCAAACAATGCTGAATAAACTGCACGCTAATCATAGTATAAATAGTCGCCTATATTTAAAGCCAAAATCTGATCTGAACAAATCTTTTGGCATTGTTCATTTCGCAGGAGCCGTTTTTTACAGTTCTAAAGGCAAACCTTTTTCCTCCTTTGATTTATTGACGACAGTGTTATAAATACGCAAAAGAAAGTAATTTTATTGCTAATTGACCTAGGTATCTACAGATTATTTAAACACCACCTCATGCTTAAAACTCAGTAACTCATATATTTAGGATTTTTGGAAAAAAATCGAGACACATTTTCTCCTGACTTGTACTCGTTAGTGCAAAGCAGCAAAATAAAGTTTCTTGTCAATCTTTTTGAACCAGACATGGACGCTGAAAATTTGACGGGAACTCGTCGAAAGCAGGCAACCGTTAGTGGTCAGTTTAGAAAGTCACTGGAAGCCCTTATGTCACAAATCGCTCTTTCTGAACCATTCTTTATTCGCTGTATCAAGCCTAACGAGTATAAACGAGCTTTGGTAAGGAAGCTATAACAAGTTTCACACCACTTTTCTGTTTTGATATTTAAAGAAGGACTTAATATTGGTTAAAAAAAAGACTTGTTAGCGAAGTTACTGAAAAAAAGGACGCATTGTACTTAAAAATTTTATTTTAAATATTACTACTCTTTTTAGCTAACTTCTTTTATAGATGTTTGATAGAGATTTGGTCTGTAAACAGCTTCGATATTCTGGAATGATGGAAACAATCAAAATCCGTAAAGCTGGTTATCCGATTCGGTACTCTTACCCCTATTTCGTTGCTCGCTACCGCATCCTACTTGACGGCATCGGTAAGTTCACGTAGCAATCGTTTCTTTCGTGACTTCGAATTTTCTTTTCTTCCAAGTGATCTATACTAGCCTTTTAGGCCCTCCTCAGAGGGTCGACTGCAAACAAGCAACGAAAGAAATCTGTGATGCAATCCTTGGGCGACATGCAGATTACCAACTTGGTGCTACAAAGGTTTTTCTAAAAGATGCCCAAGAGCTTCATTTAGAGCAAGTAAGCCTGTTTTTCACATAGTGTATTAGAAACGTCTTGTTAATGGTCACTTAATGGTCATTCTTTTTTAGCCCGCTCTTCTTTTGCTTGACAATATGATTTTTCATTTTAGGAACATGATCGCATGGTGCACATGCGAGCTGTTTTGATACAAAAAACACTGAGAGGATGGCTGCAAAGAAAGAAATTTCATCGAATGCGAGATGCTGCAATAATAATTCAGAAACATTATCGTGGATATGCTCAACGACGTAGGTACCTTCAGGTGGGTCTTGTATTTACAACGTTGTCAGCGTTTTTAATAGTTTCTTCAACTATTTTGACATGATAAATTTTAGATGCAAGTTGGCTTTGCTCGCCTTCAAGCAGTGCTCAGGACTCGCCAGCTGGTCCTACACTACCAACATCTCAAGTCTATTGTTATACAATTCCAAGTAACTTTTTTTTTTAATCTGTAGCACCAGCCTTTTTCTCGCATTTGTCCCGTTTTGTCAGCAAAACGCATGAAACTTTACTTCTTAAGGCTTTATGCCGTGGTGCTATGGTAAGGGAAGCCATAAAGTCAAAACGTGAACGCGGAGAAAGGCGGCCAGCTATGATGACTGAGACAGACGAGTCGCCGCGAGAGCCAAGTCCTGCTTCTGCATCAACATCTAACGATGAACTGGATGATTCACGCTTAGTTAATACTTCAACACTGTTTTTACGTGGCTTTATAAAAGTTTCTTGAAGTCTACTGTGCGACTTTTAAGGTAGAACAAATGTTTGGCTTTCTACCAGACTCTAATATGGATAACATCGAAACTTTGGCCCCTATTACAAATCCTAAATTCGCTGGACTTCATCAGAATAATGTCATGTAAGCAAAATTTCATACGAAAATGTCGCTTACACATTTCAGGCTTTTTTGATTTTCGCAGGCATTTTAAAAAGTACTATTTATGACACCGGAGTTGAGACAGATAAACTTTTACACGGTTTATTTGTCTTTTTAGATCAGACACCCCGTCACCAACTGATATTATCGCTCCTATGGAAGAAATAGGAAATGAAGACCTGAGCGGCTTTCAGTTTGGCAAATTTGCTGCAACATACTTTCAAGGTCAGGCTACGCCACAGCATATCAAAAAACCACTACGAGCCCCCTTGCTTCTTCACGAAGATCCTGGCCACCAATTGGTGATATACGCTTACTGAATTTTTTTACTGATTGGCAAGCTTTGACTGCTTCTGAACTTATAAATTTAGGCTGCAATGGCTGTGTGGATTACAATTTTACGATTCATGGGAGATTTACCAGAACCCAAATATCTTCCAGCTATAAATGAGGTTATAATATTATAAGAGAAAGTATTTGGTTTACTTTTAACTTTTCTTCTTTTTATGACTTTTCAATAAATTTTACGCTTCAGGATAGAACATCTGTTATGGGTAGGCTTTATGAGACTCTTGGGCGAAAGTTTACGAAGAAAGATGTTGCTTTAGCAAGCAAAAATTGCGACTACGATCAGGTATTTTGATCAATTATGAAAATATTACATTGTTTTTTTTTTGTGGATTACTTAGTCTGCTCATTGATGTTTTTTACTTTTAGCTGTCAGGAACGCAGAAGATTAAAAAAAGTAGCAGCGTTACTCAAAAATTCATACAGATGACGTTAAGGAAGAAAACTAAGCTTGCAGCTATTGAACAAGGAGGTGATAAAGAAACTAAAGCTATCATTGAAGGTATTGAAGCACATAGACAGTTTAATGCCTTTTTGGACGATAGGCCTACTTCAAACTTAGATAAATTACATTATATTATTGGACATGGCATCCTCCGCAGTGAACTAAGGTTTGTCAAGTTATGCTCATTTATGGCAGTTTTTAGAATATTTAGTTAATTTTGTAGGAATCCAACGTTTTGTAAATTTGTTAATATTGGTGAAACTTCACATGTACTATAAATTTTCTTTCATCGTCATTAATTCCAGTAACGTTAAGGCAAGATATTAATTACTGCGCTCTCTTAATAATTTATACCAGGCTTCTTAAAAGTCTTCTTCTGTTTCGTGTTAATAGGACAATTGCGGAAGGGCTTAGGAGAAAGAGATTGGCGAAGTGTCGCTTAAGACAGAAGAAGAAACTGGCAGTTTCTGTTTTCTGAACTTCTACAGAAGAATAATTATTTGTCGAGGCTATTATGCTTAGTAGCACAAACCTTTACAGCAACACATTTACGTCAGTACTGAAATGGCAAAATAGATCCTAAGTTTTTTGCCAGTCTGTACTTGTCTCTTACTATTTTGTTTTTTTAGAGATGAAATATATTGCCAAATCTGCAAGCAGTTAACGAATAATCCATCACGAAGTTCAAACGCTCGTGGGTGGATACTGCTTTCATTATGTGTTGGTTGTTTCGCTCCATCTGATCGTTTCATCAAATATTTGTACTGTTTTGTTCGAGAGAATGGTCCTAAAGGGAGTGTTAATTATTCCTCTTACATTGAACAGCGATTAAGACGTACGGTTGCAAACGGAACTCGGCATCAGCCTCCAAGCTACATTGAGCTACAGGTCTTCTATGCCTTATCCTGTACACTGTTAACCAATGAAATTTGTTTTGACTAAAACTGGTATTGAAATAACTTCATTAAATGTTGTGGACTAACTGGTTTTGGTTTTTTAATTTAGGCTACAAAATCAAAGAAAAACATTGTGCTTTCAATAACACTTATGGACGAAAGCGTAAAATCACTAAATGCAGATTCGGCTACCACGGCAAAGGAGTTATGTGAAGCTTTGTCTCAAAAAATAGGGCTTAAGGATCGTTTTGGTTTCTCGCTTTACATCGCATTATTTGACAAGGTGAAAGAGTAGTTTTTAACGAGATAAAAGTTGTTGTGAAATCCAAGGCAACCTTTATTTGCATTCGATTTTTTTAAAGAGTATCTGTTCGATTTTGCTGAGGATAAAATTTTATAGTTTTTTAAAGACTTTGATGTACAGTTTATAAGTCAATAAGGATGGGTTTTGTCAATATTTTTAGCATGATAAGCTAAGTATATATGAATCTTGGTGCGTTTGCCTACAGTGTCTAAGGTTGTTTTGAGAAGTCTTCTTCAATTTTTTAGGACGTGTTTGGAATTTTATGATCACTTTGTGCGCTATATCTCATCTCTTCTCTTATTTTTATTAATTAAGGTATCCTCTCTGGGTGCCGGTACTGACCATGTAATGGACGCAATAAGTCAGTGCGAACAGTACGCTAAAGAACAAGGTCGACTGGAACGGAACGCTCCTTGGAGATTGTTCTTCCGTAAAGAAATCTTTAGCCCATGGCATGATACTAGGTTTTGTCAATTTCACATTAATATTTAGATTAAGCACTTTATAGTAACTTTATTGCAGAAAATATGCTCAATTTCAGCCTTGACCCAGTTGGTACAGACTTAGTTTATCAGCAAGTAGTACGAGGAGTCAAGTATGGAGAATACAGAACCGATAAAGTAAGTCTCTTGCTTGCACGACAAAAGTTTTCTAAACATTATCACTTATCCTTGTTGTTAGACTGCAGTATTAGGCTAAAGCCTGAAAAGGAGTAAACTGTAACAAGAAAAAAAACTAAATTTAATTGTTACATTGTTGCAGTCAACTTTCTGACAACCGAATAAATTGCCTTCTGTAGTCATGAAAATAAAAAAAAAATTACTGTAATAGCTAATTTGTTGACTTTTTAACAGGATGAAGATCTTGCTCTTCTAATAGCTCAACAATTTTACATCGATTACGGTTCCCATTTGGACGTGAATGACATCGATAAACTGGAAGAGTCACTTCAGCGTTACCTTCCCGATTATGAGCTGAAAAAGTCAAGTAATGATAATCTGCAAAGATGGTTACAGTTGGTAATGCATGCTTATAGAAAGGTATTTTATAAGATTTCTCGATTAAATTTCTGTTTTTTAAAACGTTTTTTGAATCTGCCACAAAAAAAGTCATCGTGTGATTTATTTAGAAGTTCAAGCAGAAAGAAATAACAAAGGAAGAAGCTAAAGGAGACGTTGTTAAATTTGCAAAGTTCAAATGGCCTTTACTTTTCTCCAGGTTCTATGAAGCTTTTAAATTTGCCGGTCCACCTCTTGCCAAAAATGAAGTTCGTTTTAACACAATTTTTTAAATGAGAAATTTTTATTACATTATTTTTAATCTTAACCTTTCTCTCGCCGCTTCTTTTGCTATGTTGAATGACTTTTACTCATTTTCTTATGTTTTAGGTTATTATAGCAGTTAACTGGACAGGTATCTATGTTGTAGATGATCAAGAACAAGTACTACTCGAGTTCTCATTTCCAGAAGTTACAGGAATTTTATGCTCAGCGTAAGTTATTTCACCTCTTCCTAATCATATGCTTTATTAGTATACTGAGTATTTGGTTTGTCAAATTGGTAACAACCATGATTAACTGGTGACATTACTTTACAGACCTTCAAGAGCTTGTATTGAATCTTTTACGATTCAAACAGTTGGTCAGGATGAATATACGTTCCAGTCACCTAACGCTGAAGACATTAAAGAGCTTGTCAGTTACTTCTTGAATGGCCTGAGCTCTCGTTCGCGTTACCTTGTTGCTTTGCAGGAGAACAGTGCAAATGGTGTGTAAGGAAATATTGATCCAAAAAAATTTTTGCTGGAACTGTACAATTGCTTTTCATATTTTGATTGAACATAAAATGAAAAATTTTATCTTTGTCGGAAATAACCCTCATCACTTGCAGTGTGGTTTGTGGCGGAGGGCAGTTTCCTAACAATTGGCTATACTAAAATTTTAAATAACAAAGGTTATAAATTCATAAAATTACTTTGTTCTACAATTGAAGAGACTTTTTAGAAGCAGCAAATTATCTCGAATTCAAAAGAGGAGATCTTCTTCTTTTATCTGACGGCCTCACTGGAGGTTCACTAAGTAAGCATCAGTTTGTGAGAGGAGAAAATGCACGAACAGGAAGGAGGGGTAACATTCCGGTTGATCTCGTGCGGGTTTTGCCTACTCTAGAAAAACCAACGATTGAAGTGTTGGTAAGATCATAAAGATATTAGAATAGTTTTACTTTTATGTGATTCTAAAATAACTCTGGTGACTTCTTGGAATCATGTGTTTGTTCACCGTCATAGCATTCCATTCACATAATTTTGGTTTCTCAGGAAACATTTGCTAAACAACCGGAGTTTGATTCTTTGATGAATCGCCAAGTCGCGTTGGTTAACGCTTCAACCACAGATAGGCCTTACACCTTGGAGAGGTTTGCGGCCGACAATTTCAGGTTAATTTCTAAAGAACACTGTTTTTCTCATAGCAAAGCTGTATTATCAACACTCTTTCATTGTTAACCAATATAAAAATTAAATTTTGTATTCTTGAAAAAAAGACAGTTATTTTTATAGAACTCCTCCAAAAAGGACTCTTACTCTTGGTTCAAGAAAGAACGACCGTTCTAGTAATGGTTTATGGATGCATAGCAGAGATCCAATAAAAATGCCACTTTTAAAGGTCACTTACATTTGCATTTAAAAATGTTATTGCTGTTTTTCTGAAATTGAACAAATAACTAAAGTCGTATTTAGAAGCTTATTGGTAAAGAGGAGCCTTCTAGTGAAGCCGTTAATATGTTTATGGCCATTTTAAAATACATGGGCGATCATCCATCGAAGAAACCACGTTCAGGCACTGAATTGACGGACCAAATATTCAAAGGACCTTTGAGATATGTACGTAGACTAGACCTGCTTTTTAAGTGTTTATGAAAAGGTTTTAAGGCTTTTTTGAATTAGGCCATTTGTTAACGCATAAAGGGTTATCATAAATTTCCGAAGTAAAGTTTATGTTAATTCTTCTTTTCTAGTAGCTCTTCTTCTCTGTTTTTTGTTTAACTGAGCAAAGAATTATTTTATAACACGTGTTTGTTTCATACTGATTTTTCCATGAAGTTTTGTCTTTAGGAGATACTTAGGGATGAATTGTACTGTCAGCTTATGAAGCAGCTGACTGCTAATTTCAATCCCTTTAGTGAAGAGTGGGGATGGGAGCTTTTGTGGCTTGGCACAGGTTTATTCCCTCCAAGTCAGTCGCTGCTGAAAGAAGTTCTTCAATTCTTACGATCGAGAGAACATCCTGTTGCTGCTGACTGCTATAACAGACTACAAAAGACTTTAAGGTCTCTTCATGCCACAGTTTATAAACTGGCCTAGTATAATGCTTGGTGTACAATATTCCTACACAAATGTGTTCAGGTCTGGCCGTCGTAAGTTCCCACCTCATCAGGTTGAAGTAGAAGCAATTCAACACAAAACCACCCAAATATTCCATAAAGCTTTCTTCCCTGATGGCTCAGAAGAAGCAATTGAAGTCGAGTCGTCAACAAGAGCGCGCGATTTTTGTCAGCGGATAGCCACAAGATTGAGATTAAAGTCATCTGAAGGCTTTTCGTTGTTTGTAAAGTTTGATCAGAAAGGTTAACGATTCGAAATTTATTTTCTTTTACCATATTTATATTCTCTTAAACTTTACAAGAAGTTTTTAGTGATTTCTGTGCCGGAGAATGAGTTCTTCTTTGACTTTGTCAGACAAATCGGTGAATGGGCTCGTCAGATGCGAGCTGCAGAAAATGCGCCACCTTACTTCTCTTATCAAGTTCGTTTTATGAAGAAGCTATGGATGAATGTAGTTCCTGGAGAAGATACAGCTGCAGATTTAATCTTCCACTATCCTCAAGTATGTTTTAAGTTTGTTTCTTGAATCTTTAAGTATTACAATAAAATCTGTCGTTTTTTAGGAACTACCTAAATATCTTAAAGGTTACCATAAGGTAACTCGACAACAGGCAGTTGAGTTGGCTGCATTAATTGTACGTGCTAGCACGCAACGCGACAAGTATCCGTCAATGTCTCAGGTTCAACAAAAGTTAAAAGACTTTGTTCCGGAAGATCTCCTGCAAGCTTATAATAAGAATGATTGGAAGAAGGTCAGGTTTTGCATTTTGAACTCTGCTGTTCTCAGACTGCTTCATAAAAGTTCTTCATGAACAGCGTTCAACACATGCGTCTTTTCAGCAAATTGCGGCAGCATATGGCGGAAATGTGGAAAATATGAGTCCTGAAGAGGCTAAGATTACCTTTTTACAACGCGTTGCACAATGGCCTACATTTGGTTCTGCATTTTTCGAAGTATGATTACTCATGTCAATTAGAAACTTTAGGCGGAAGAACAATAAGCCAATTTGATCACAGTGTGAACTCTTTGTAACAGGTTGAATATTTTGTGAGTTTTCAGGTTAAACAGTCTTCCGATCCAGCATTACCCAATAAACTTCTCATTGCTATTAATAAAACGGGAGTGAACTTGTACGATCTGGTTACTAAAGATCACATCGGAAATTATCCATTTTCTTCAATAAGCAACTGGACTAAAGGCAACACTTACTTCCACATGACCGTTGGTAACCTGACGAAAGGAAATCGTTTATTGTTGGAAACTTCGTTGGTAAGACGTAATTTTTTTTAAATCTAACACTGCAACAGACTTCTGACCTTCTTTATCGATTTTATTCTTAAAATTTTTATTCGTTTCATATTCCAAAATTCTCCAGGGTTATAAAATGGACGATTTGTTAACATCTTATATTAGGATGTTACTGTCTTCATCGAATACTAATCGTGCTACTGCTGCCTCCAGTGACGCTGAAATAATTTGACTCTTTTGAATAATATCGTTTCGTACATATTTTTCTGTTTTTATCATTTTTCTTTTGACGGTAACCTATTTATTATTGAATTTTATTTGTTATTCACATCTCTCCAATCACTAGATTTGTTTCGCTTTAAAGGGTTTATTTAAATTAACTACTTAAGTTTTACTCAAAAAAGAACAATTTCTTCTTATTTAAACATTTTTTCACTTTAGTGGCCATTATAAGGTGGCTGCTCTAAAGAGGTCAGAGACAAGGAGAGAAACCAGTTGCCTTTATTCATTGCTAACTGTTAATTTTCAAAAATTTTTGTATTGTTTTAAAGCATTTGCGGGAACAAGCCTTTGATAAAATTTTGAAATGGCAGCATTATGTTGAAAGAAAGGTTGATGAATCTTTTGTAGAAATGAAATATTGAAGTTACTAGAGGTTAATCTGCAGTCAAAAAATTTTTTTAAGTTAAGCGGATAAGATAAGTAACCATATAAATACAAAAAGAAAAAACCTGATTTATTGGACTAATAAATTTATCGGTCAGCGTAAGTTCACAAAAAAAATAGTTTTATCAAATTTTTAATTTAATTGCTTATAGAAACTTGCTGTTGCTGGCTAAAAATTAGTAGAGTAAACAGCAAATTTTGTTCGGGTATCAGATTTATAGTAGTTGCTATGCATTGTTTTAAACGGCTGTTTCTAAGAAAAAAAGCATTAAATTGTACATGGTTCTTTGAAATATGAAAAAAGAAGACACCAAACTGACAGTTAAGAATCTTCCTGAGGTATAGTTTTTTGAAAGTTTTGACAGAACATATCGTACTTAAAGCAGTACGAAAAAATAAGCTGAATTAGTTACTGCTGTAATGCAGTTTATCTAGCTAAACTGTACAATGAAGGAAGGATATTGGTTCTAAAAATTTTTGTTTCTCTTTTTTTTTTTTTTTTTTTTT